CAGGTGTTAGCATACAACTTAAAAACCTCATTCCTAAAATAGCATACACATGAGTCAACAATACCTTTTCTACCTGGCTGCAACTTCCTTTACTATTAAAATTCAGGGCTCAGCTCTGAATTGCATGTCTCAGGAAAGTGCCTTGAGCACTCTCTTGATTGCTTCCCTCAACCAAACCTTCAGAGCATATACAAAGTCTGCATTAGAATATTCTTCTCTACTACATTAAACTCTGCTGAAAAAATTATTCAGGTCTTTAGGAGTTTTTGATTAGTAGGTAAATCAAGTACAATACACTGGCAGAAGGGTATCCTATACCATGCCATACTGTACCATGCCATACTGTACCATGCCATACCATACTATATCAATGGTGCATTCTGTTAAGAAAATCTTGTGAATATTAATTTCATCATATGCTGGAAAAGCTGCCATGACAGATTCCTCCCTGTTCACAAAGGTACTGCAGCTCTCAAATTCACGTAACCACCATGGAGGTTTATAAAGACATCATGGCACGGCACAGCATGGCATGGCACAGCATGGCACAGCATGGCACAGCATGGCACGGCACGTAAAAGGGATCTAGTGTAGAAGGTGTTATTTCTGACCCAACTATACATTAAATGCCAGTATCTCCTCAATATCTGTATAAGACCCTGATTAGCAACAGCATTGCAGGGTTCACATCCATTTCTAAGAAAGACATGGAGCTGTTGGAGCAGGTCCAGAGGAGGCCACAAAAAAGATCAGAGGGATGGAACACCTATCCTATGAGGACAGGCTGACAGTTGGGTTTCTTCAGCCTGGAGAAGAGAATGCTCCGGGGAGACCTTGTTGCAGCTGCCGGCACTGAAAGGGGGCCTATAGGAAAGATGGGGACAGGCTTTTTAGCAGGGCCTGTTGCAACAGGGGGAAATGGTTTAAAACCAAAAGAGGGCAGATTCAGACTAGACACAAGTAAGACACTTTTGACAATGAGGGTGGTGAACCACTGGCACAGGTTGCCCAGAGAGGTGGTAGATGCCCCATGCCTGGAGACATTAAAGGCCAGGTTAGATGGGGCTCTTGAGCACCTTGATCTAGTTGAAGATGTCCCTGTTCATGGCAGGGGGGTTGGCCTAGATGACTTTTAAAGGTCTTTTCCAACCCAAACCATTTTATGATTCTAACACAGGGATCATCTTGGCCAATATGGCAACAATAAAGCCTGATAAAAAGGCAATGAATTTGTCACTTATTCAGTGGATGACATGTTTGAGGCTTTACACAAAGAGGGCATTACTTCCTGCAGGCAGGTATCTGGCTATTGTCGCGTGACCAAAACAATGCTCACCTCGGGACAATTCCAGGAGAGACATCCAGCATTGTAGGAGGTCATGTTCACATCTTGGGAAGAAATTACGTGTCCCAGCCACCAGGAATCACCTGCCACCAATCCAGCCTCACATTCACAGTCTGCTGAACATGATGGCAGCCTTTATTTGCCGTGAATAGATGCTGCCTCATCATCTTGGGACTCTCATCTTGTATTGGTGCCCTCCCTCATCAGTTGAAAACTCCATCAACACTTTCTCATGTGGAGCTGTCCTGGCTCTGCACATGACCACAGTTCCTTCTCCCATCCCCAAACCTGTTTTGTAATATCTGCCTTGACTCCAACCATCCTTTCCATTCCCTCTTGACTGGTTCAGTCAAGCTTTGTATGCACAGCAGCCTTGGCCTTAGCACACTGCAGCCAAAACGACTCTAAGCAGTTGCTGGAAAAGTCCTGTCAGGTGCCTGAACTCAGAGCATCTGTGAGATACTAGCTGGGGTCCCGAGGTACAGGAGAAAGGCATGGAGAAATGCACTCAGGATTGGATTTCCAGTCTTGAACCTACAGTGACACAGAATCAAATTGTTGGTGTGAAACACTCAGATGCGCTCATCACGAATGCCGTTAAATACAAGGCATTTACATCTCTCACAGGCCTTAGAAATAATCTCAGAAAATGGAGTGTATGGAAACAACACAGAAAAAAGCTAACATGTCTGCACCACTGCTTTAAAAGTTGCTTAATTTAGACTTAATCCATCCCTTCCATGGAAGAAAATGAAAAACATTCTTAATGGTTTAGAAGAAATAAAAAGCAGTGAGGACAAAGCACCATGGAGGGAGACCCAAGAACAAGACTGAGAAAGGAGAAACTCTTGGGTCTGTACTTTGACCACACAGCCACCTCTCGGAGGCAGGAAAAAAGGATTCGCATTTACCAATAGTTTCCATGGGTCCCCCAAAAGCCCAGCCAAAGGCAGAGGGGACACATGAGCAGTGATATTTCCAAGTTCCAGGCATGGTTCTCCCAGTGTTTCAGCACCCACCTCCCCCAGGCACATTGTTAAGTGTCTCTGTGTCTCAAGGTCATTCCTTGGGAAGTGGATTGAAATACCTTACAGCTACCTCCGGTTCTCATTAATGCAAATTCATTAGAAAATTTACACCTGTTGTTTATATGTATGACTAATTACGGTGCAGAATTGAGGTGGTGAGCAAACAGAAATAAGTAAAGTTTAAATACCGGAAGACACGTGAGAGGCATAGACCAGGTGATACACAGCAAAGTCAGAATTGCCAAAGAATGCCTCATTTCCAGGGGGGTGGCTTTGAAGCATATAAAAGGCTCCCCCTCACAGTGGTCCTCATTCGTTCATCTTGACTTCTCCTCACTTGTCCTCACTGGTCAACAGGGTAAGTCAAAGCTTACTACTTGCCTTTACATTTGCACTCTACTGTACTTCTGTGTGCTTTTGCAGGAAGTCATCCATGATTTCCTGTACTGTCTGGTTTGGGACCAACTTTGAGAGATTGGTTTGGGGATCCACCTGGGTGGCTTCTTTCTGATGGAACCAGTGTTGGACAATATGTCACAGGCACCAGTTGCCCATGGAAAAATTTAAAGATCTCAGGGAAAGGCTGTCAGGGGATTCTGGACAGTAGGGACATCCCCAAGCAGTTTGGGATGGACTTTGGGATAATTGTGCTTTAAGCTGCATAAACAACTGGGAAATTCAGGCAGAGAAAAAGAAACTCTCTCTGTTCCTTCCAGCTTTGCCTACCCCACTACCAACAACATGCCCAACGGAGGTTGTGGATGCTGCGGTAGAAGTAACTACTCCGTGTGCTGCTACAGCACCAAGAAGTCGTGCTGCAAGACGCAGTCGTGCTGCCCGCCCATGCAGTACTGCTGCCCCAGCCCCTGCTGCATGCCCATGCAGTACTGCTGCTACAGCATGAACAACAACAGAGGCTGCTGCGGCAGCCACACGGGGGGGCGCGTCGGGCG